CTCTCTGGTAGGGCCAGGAGAGGCAAAAGTTATTTCAATGGCATCCAAATGATCTGCTGGGTTTTATGGCAACTTTCTTAAAAATAAAATCTTCCTGTAGTTTTTCTCTTCTATACCCTCCCCCAAATATGCAACCCCCTCCAATATGTTCAATATCTTTCTACTTTTAAGACCTTCAAAATTACATTTGTGGATGTGGCACTCTGAGCACCATTACCTTTCCTTCATCTTGCCCTTTATTAATACAGGTCATTTTTGGAGACAGCCCTGATTCTTCCCTGTGCTCACAAAGGATTCCCCTGCAGGGCTTGCAAGGGCACAGGCCTGGGTGTCAGCCTACCACACCCCAGGGTTTTGCCAGTTCCACTTGCCAAGAGGTTGTCAAAGGAGATCTGCTGTCTCCCTGCTGAAAATAACCCTTTATCTCTCTAACACTGGAGAAGGCAGGAAAGACTCGCAAGGAAAACAGAACCCAAAATATGGTTTTGATTTTTCCCTATGGGAGAAGTTCAAGGTGCCACCAAAGTGGGAGAGAACATTTGAGCTGGTATTGAACTTATAATCCAACTCTTTGTTGTGGGAACTGAATACTGTGGGAAAGGGAAAGGAAAACTTCCATGGGGTACAGCAATTATGCTTGTCTGTAAGGAACCACAGTGTAGAGTAACTCCTGTTTACCTCTTTGGCTTGAGTGGGTAATTTGCTGGAATAAAAAGAGCAAGAAAAGACTGAATGCTCAGTAGTTGACATTTGCTTTGAAATCAAGAGGCCCCCAAACCAGCTTGGTGTTCTGTGTTACAGAGATATGAGAGTTTATACCCAGGTGCTTTCACACAAAAAAATAATCACATCACACTCCCCATAGCCTGGTCATCATTTGTTCTCAAACCACGTTCAAGTGACAGGGCTTGAAGATAGGTTATTCATAATCATGTTGTTGTTTAAGCTGCATTACTATTTTGTGTCCAGCCTATTGATTTTTCAGGATTCTTCTGCATGAGGCTTTTTCATTAGTGTGTTATATGGAACAAAAACCCCTTAGTGGATTCAGAAAATATTGTACTCACAAAACCTCCATAATTTTCTGTTTTTAATAGAAAAATAAATGCACCTGGGCTTACAGTTAGGATGCCAAGATTTTCCATAATTTAATTTGAAACAGTTCAAGAGCTTTACTTTGGATATCAGCAGAAATGAGGGCCAAATTCAGATACAGTTTAATTGGGTGCAAATCACTTGGCTTCCTCGAATTACTTTAGCTCACATAAAATCCACTTTAATTGGACATCTTAAACATGTACACATTTGCATTTCTTTAATAAATCACATGATTAAAACACAATTCTGGACAAACATTTCCTGGGATAGACAGCCTGGTTTTCCTAAACCTGGGAGGAAATCACTGCACTGTGAGGGGGCAGCCAGGCAGGAGGGCTAGAAGGGATAAAGGATGGTTACAGAACAGATTTCTGTTGAAAACGTTAAAAATCATGGATGAAAACAAGACTTTGGTGTGAGTTGGAGCTTCTCTGATGAAAAATTTCTCTGTGATGAGCTGGTCCATCACCATCAGGGTTCTTGGTGTGTCACCCCTTCACTGCAGTTACAGTCACATTTCCTGGGCAGTGTTTTCCATGGGAAGACCATGCTAATGTGATACATCTCTAAAGTTACTTCTGGTTCCTAGGGGCTGTGGTATCCAGTTAGCCCTTGAGTCTATGAATATTTATACAACATAAATGGGGAAATCGGTGGGTTCCCTTGGTGGAAATGTGATATTGGTATTTTTTAAAATAAACTTAAATAAGGTCAGAATTTTTTATCCTCTAGAGAAAATTTCACGTCTGATTAAATAGTTTACATAAACTTAATCTTTTTCTGCTAGATGCATTATAGTCTCAGATATTATTCATGTAGCTATTCCTCTGTGAACCATAAAATGTTCATTTCTTCAAAATGAATATGAAGCTCAAAGCATTAGTGGTCTTAAGAGCATAAAAAGTTTATTGCTTTGTGCTTAACATTTTTCAAGTAACTTTCGAAAGCTGAACAAATTTTGCATTTAGATTAATGGAAGATGTTTTCCATTTGAAGGAACTAGCAAGGGAGCAGCAATAACAAAAATCCCCCAAGGTTAAAAATGTAGTGCTTTTGATTTTTACCAGAACTGTGTTAGCAGAACAATCATTTCTCAGCATGGAAAGGTAACATAATTGGTCTATACAGTGGCAATATAGAAAACGAGTATGCTTCAGAGAAAGCTAATATGGCTCTACTTAATAATTTCCTTCAAGAGCTTGAATTTGAATGTATATTTCACCCAGCTTGAGGCAAACAATTTGTACCCAGAAGTTCTAGTGGAAGTTACCAGGGGGTCATGCAATTTATTTTAGTTCTTGAAGTTTTCAGAACTGAAGACCTAAGAGCACATTCACTTGCATGTTTCACCCGTAATTTGATCCAATTGGGCACCATTTTCTTTCTCCTCTATTATGTTAGTTCTAGTGCAAGGAAAAAAAAAAACAACACTCTCATGAAATATTGTGAAAGAAAAGTTTTCTTGGAAGAAAAACTACCTCTCAAATTTACACAAGCAGTCTCTTTTAAGAATTGCTCAAGCCCTTTCATTCCCTGGCACCTGAAGCCTGCTGTGTTGGTTTCTTAAAAACTGATGTTACTGTGTGAATTCACTTTATTTTGGAGCCTGTGATTGTGGAGAACAGTGGAAAGTGCTTTTTTTCAGAATAGACTAAACCACTATTTGCCCTTAAACTCAGGACAGTGCTTCCCTCCAGTGCTGTCTCCAGGCTGGTTTCCAGCCACATTCCATGGACAGACAGTGCCTGCTCCACCTCTGTGCTCCTGGGCAGAGTCACCTCACTTTTACAGTGCTAAATCCCACTGTCTGTAAATCTTGGCAATTTGCTGGGACAGGAGCTGAGAGGTCCTTTCCTGTAAAAGTGGCGCTGAATAAAAGGCAGGGGTTGTGCTTTTCAGTCTGATTTATAAGAGAAGCTCTTGAGCCTCTTTGTCCCCTGGGCTGCAGAGGGCTCAGAGACAGGGCAGGGCACTGGGAGGCTGCTCAGAGCCCCAGCTGAGGGTTCTGGGCTGTGCTTTGCAGCTCATCACCGTGCAGGAGCAGGGGGTTAGCAGGGGCCAGGGAGTTACACTGAGTTTAGCAGAACCTTTTACCTCGAATGTTCTGGAGAGATGCATTAGGAGAAACAGATTTTAAAGACAGGAATTGCTCTGCTGGGTCTCTCCCTGAGCTGAGTGGTATGAACAACTGGGATTAGAAGGAAGGTGCATGTTTGTCATAGGGGAGAGGACACAAAGTTCTGGAAATTTCTTTCTTAAATTGTGACACTGTCTTGCCTTACAGTACAGGGGTGTATATTTACAACAGTTATTTTTTGTAGTAGTGGCCCTTCCTTTTAGAGCTGTTTTGTTCTGTTTGTTTCCTTAGATGAGTTTGTCTCTGTGTCTCCTTTAAATATTAACTTACCTTTTCGGTTGTGTATTTTTATTTTAGTGTGATGTTTTGATTTGTAAAAAAGACTTTCTGGCCTTTTTTACATTGTCCAGGTTCTTAGGGCAGAAGATCTTTTGCGAGTGTTTTGATAGACCTCTTATATTCTTCCTCAGCCAAGGTAACAAATGCTCTAATGTTAGTGTTAATTTTATGGAATTCTTCATCTGTTGCATTTCTAAAAATCTTTTCTATGCTTTTGAAGCCAACAGAAGTTTGACCATTGACTTTCAATGAAGTCACTCTGCTTTTCTTACTTGGATGCCAAATGTACCTGAACAAATCTTACAGGCACAAGGTAGAATATAAAATAAATCCATCCCTCTGGTAATTATTGCCAAGAATTAATGTGTCTTACTTGTGAAGCCAGGAACAGTCCTGCTGGAAGCCTGCCTGTGGGAAATGCTGGTTCACCCTTCCCTGGCTGTCCCAGGTTCTGTGATCCAAAGCCGTGTGGCCATTTGTCACCAGGCTGCTCTGAGAGCCGTGCTTGGGTCAGTTTGCTGCCGTGGCTGAGGGGATCCTTCTCCCTTTAAGAGGGGAAAGCATGGCCTGGATTTGGTTAGCAGTGTGACAATGAGGGAGATAAGCAGATGTGACAGTTATGAATGATGCACTGTCATGCACTTCTGCATTCTGACTCAGATAAATTGACACTGCTGTCAAACACAAGCTATGGAGAGGAGAGACCTCTGATGAACCTTCTAATATGGTAAATGGGAGTCTTAATTCTTCATTAACTGGAAAAAGGAGATTTGGCCATGTAATTTTCTCCTTGCTGCCTGTTTTAAAGATTCCAATAACCCAGCATTTACAGTTGACTAGGCAGGGATTGCTTTTTCCTGTGCTAGCGACATGCAGGCTGTGAAATCTAAGGAAGTGCTGCTTAAACACAGACTTATTGCCTTGGTTATCTTTAATGACTTTGAAATGTATTGGCCTCATTATGGAACAGTGCAGTTATCAATTCCTCTAATTAGGTGATGTGGTCCCATAAGAAATTTAACATTAAAGTGCAAAAATGAGTTAGTGGCATCAATTGCTGGCAACCTGGATGTTGGCACTGAATTTAAAGCAACAGTGCTCTTTTTCTGTGTAGTTGTTCTGCATCAGTCTTATTCGTTCAAATATCAACAGTCATTTTTTTCAATTCATGAATTTTAACCCGTGTGAAGTGTTTATTACCTGAGCATTTCTCTGCCCTCTGAAGCTCTATCCTATGGCACACAGTTGGTGTAGACACCAGTGAACTACAGACCAGCTGATGCACAGTGAACTCTCTTCACTGACAGGTCAGGCTGGGCAGTGAAACTGCCAGTCCACGTCTGCATTTTCAGTGGCCCTTTCAATCTGAAGATCTTGCAGCAGTTCATAAGCACTGAAGTGCCTTGCCCACAGTCTACCTCCCAGCAGAACTGGAAACAAAGCACCATCCCTGCAGTTCAGTCACCTTCCCAGATTTGTAATGCTGCTGCCTCCCACGAGGGTCTGCTGGAGGTTGCATTTCTCTTTTCCACCATATGGAAAGGATTATTGGTGGCCAATTTAGAACAGACAGTCTCCTGTCTTGCTGGGAGGAAAAGAGGGTCTGAGAAACCTTATTCTAATGTCTGGTTTGTGCAAGTGTTTTGGTATGGCTGTATACAAAAGCAAGTGCATAGTATTTTATCTCTTGTTATCCTTCCCTTTAAATCACACAGCACAAACCCATAGATTATTTGTGTATGAAAATAATCTCCATTTTCTGCGAGTTTGTAAAGCTTGGTGGGGATAATGTCTGGTAGGGCAGTGTGTGATGTTACATGGGGAGGGTATCTGTGAACACACTGGGAGGCCATACTGCCAAAAATTGGACTTTATACGTACTTTAGAATAAATGGCTCCAAAGACATCTAACAACCTCAAATTGCAAACCACAAATGGTCACAAACCCAGCATGGAGTTGGGTTTCTGTCTGGTTAGGCAAGCTGTGAGCCAGGGATGGAAACCTCACCCTGTGCTTCCCACACAGACATGGATCTGTACTGGCCTCACTGGACTGTGCTGGAGGCTGCCCCTCCTCTTTGCCTCCCTTCCCACAGGACAATATCAGTGGATTGCTTTGGATGCTTTTGGAGGACAAGACATTTGTTAAAGACTCAAGGCTGAGAAGAGGGTGAGTGGATGGATGAATGGATGGATTCCCTTTGCCTGCTCAGGCAGCTAGGCTGGGAATTCTCAGTTCCTTTGCAGCTCCTCTCTGTTTGGCCATGACTGCTTTGTAAACTTTGGATCACAGTGAGATATTTGGCACAATGAACACAATACTGCCATCCTTTCATCCCTTCCATCATTTATACCTGTTCTGCAGGGGTGGTGACTGCTGACCTGTCCCAGTGTCTGAGCACCCCCAGTCTTGAGCCATCCCAGCATTTCCATCCCTGGGCAGGTCATGCAGGGGCTCCTGCTCTGTTCAGCCAGGTCATTGAATCTCTGACTGCTGCAGCCTGCAGAAGCTGCTCATGGATATGATGGTTTGTTCCAAGTGCACTCCCAGCAGTGTGTGAAACACAGTCACTGCCATCCCTGGCTATCAGGGCTGGTTTGTTCTCTCCAGTTCAGAAAGAAAAGTAAGGACACTCTGCTTTCTGCTTTAAATAAATAAACATGCCCACATGCAGTCCCACCCAGTGTTTGTTGCTGCAAAATTCACAGAATTATGTAAGAATCACAGATCACAAATAGTTAGGGGTGGAAGTTAGGGTTAGTTCTCTCTTTTTTCTTGGACTGGAAGAGGTCTGGGGTAATTCTGCTTCCTGAGGGAGCCAATTCTGCTGTCTTGCATTAGCTTTCAAGATATTTTTGTTACCCTTGTAGACAGTTCCTGTTCTAGCAATGGATATCGTCAGAGTATCTGAGAAGCATGGTCATTATCTACACTTGACTAAGAAATAAAAAAAATTGTATCCTTCCAGTTTTCTCCCCTGTGTTGCTTATTCTCAGATGGAGGTGATGAGTCTCCTGCTTTCAATGATGACATTTCATACCCAACCACACATCTGGACAGCCAATGAAAGAAGAAAAGAACCAGTGGCAGGAGAAGGGCCACCTGTTAATTCTGTACGTTATGCAGGAGTCAGAAAGTTGGCAGAAAAAACTGGACCCCAGTTAACCTTGTTTAAGCATCTTCTGCACAGTCCCAGGTGACTGCCAGCATGTGCTGCATGTTCCTAAAGCATACCTCTTCTCTGTCCTCAGCTCATGTGAAATACTTCTGTATTGTTCTTTCAGACGTTTCATGAAAATCAATGAAAATGATTTGTCTAAGAAAAAAAAATGAGACAGGCCCAGGTTAAGGCCAAGACAGACAAAAACTGCATCCCAGTCCTGTAGGTCCTGGAAGAACACCTCCCACAAAAGAGACACTGTCGCTTTAACGTGGGCTGCTGTTTCCTTGAATGGAGTTACCCAATCTTTCATCAAAGAAACATATCTCCCATATCCCTGTCTTTAAAAACAGCAATTATGTGTAAATGCTTTCTGATTTATTTGAGCCAGGGCCACCGGCCAGTGTGAGTCACCACAATTTATTGCTAACCGTCACTTTTACATGATAGGTTTGTAACAAATATCTGCCGCATATTGTTAAATTAATCTTCCATTTAAAATTAATGGAGTTAGACTCCCCAGGTTCAATGTAATTTCGTGTTCACGGGCAGGGAGTGATGTGAGCTGCATACAGAATGAGCCGAGGCCAAACGCCCTAATCTTTCATCACCTTGAACCCAGTGACTAGGACGCCTTCTCAGCACCAACTAATGAGATTGAGCTTGCTTCTCTCCTGAGGACGCCAGCTCAAAGAAGCTTTTCTGCTCAGATACAGCAGGCTCCATCTTATTTTAATAATTCCTCAGATATGACATGCCTGATGTTATGTATGAAAGACTCAGGCTTGAAAAAGAGATGAAATGAATTTTATATCATTACTTCAAAACCGAAACCAGCTAAAGGAAGTATGTCACAGTTAAAAATGCAGTAAGCATTTTAGCTATGAAATATTTTGAAAGTAAACAGGAGTCATTCTTTCATTTATTATTATAATGCAGCCTCACCTTAGACTCATCTTCTGTAATTCCAGGCCCATTCATAAATTAATAACAATAATGTAGATGAAAGCAGGAGACTGTCCAATGAACATGTGGATGGGACCATCAGAGAGAAGAGATTTAATTCCTAATGGAATATGCCATGCTATAGTGCTGAGCTCTTTCATTTCTCTTTGTGGGCATTTGTGGAAAATGAGCCTGTCTTTTATGCATTGGCATCCTGCAAATCCATCACATATTGTTTAAAAATAATTGACTTGAATTGTATCAGTGTACCTTTCTGCTTGTCTTTTATTGCAGCTTTAAAGAGGTAGTAATTTCTCTTATATTTTAGTATTTACCAGTGCAGGAGACTAAGAGCATCAGTGGAATCTGCACAGGGGCCTGTGCTGCTGTGTGCTGTGCTCAGTGCCTGTGTCAGTCACCCTTGCTGACCCCCAGTGTCCCTGGCACTGCTGAACCACGTGCAGGGAGCTGCTGCTCCATCCACCCTGGATGTGTCCTGGCCATGGATGAGTCCCAGGTGAGGATGGGGCTGGCCTGGCCCCCTGCCCTGGGCAGTTCCTGCTTCCAGAGCCACGTGCCCAGAGGGTCACCTCCTCTGCTCCACCCCTCACACGGGCTCTGCACAGTGGAGAGCAGCTGTCAGCAGCTCCTGGGAAGCAAGAATAGAAATATGGCATTTTCCAATCTAGAGGAGTGTCTTAGGAGAGAAAGGAGAAAGGTCTTTCCACAAGCTGCTGTCGAATGGAGAAGAGCAGGCTTTGTTCTGGGGCATGTGCTGGGTAGGAAGAGGGATGGCAGAATGCACAGGTTTCCAAATCTTCCACTTATTTTCATGTGTATCTATGGGGGGAAGGAAGTTTGGGCCCATCTGGGCAGAGAATCAGTGAAGATTTCTTTCCATTGTGCTGCTTTGATTTAAAATCTCCATCAGTCTTCCCCTATATCCCACCTGGGGCAGTTTTCCATTGCTGAGCAGACCTCACCCACATTCATTCATGTCTTTTATCCCTCTGTGTCAGTTGCAGCTATTCTGATTTCTGTGGAATTATAAATCTGGTTAAACCAGTGAACCATGTAACCAGTATCAGGCACTTTTATGTTTGTGGGGATTTTGTTTCTGAGAAACTCATCACTATTTTAGTCATTCAGCAGAACTACTGATTTTGACATTTTAGATTTTACCTTGTTTATTTAAAATCAGTTGAAAAGATATGACCTTGTTCCTCTATACTATCTCACCTGATTAAAGCTTTAAAATTGGTCAGCTCTTTTTTAATTGTTCTTTTATTTTTGGAGTGAAGTATTTGCATGCACACCCTCCCTTATTGGTTCTGTTTGTTCTCTTGGAAACCCAGTGATTCACCAGTTTCCACATCCACAGGTTCCCCATTTCCTCTTTGTCTTCCTGGTTGCTGCCAACTGCCCACTCAGATGCAGTCCTGGGGCAGAGCAGGGTGTGCCCAGGTAACCTGCATGTCTGGTGTTCATGAAGCCACACTCTCCAAGGTGCCAAAGGAGCTGCTGAGAGTACAAAATGTGGCTGTGCTGCCAGCAGTGCCATCAGCTGGGACCATTCCGTGGTGTTTGACCCCAGGGAATTATGCAGGGTGTCTGGACAGGAGCAGGGGGAGAAGCTGCAGTGCCAGCAGTGCCAGCAGTGCCCACCTGTGCAGGACCAGCTGCCTGTGCCCAGCAGGAGCTCTCCTGCATTGCCTTTGTAGCAGGTTACTCTGTGTATAAAAAATATGGTGCCAGCAAGGACTGGCTCTGCTGTCTCGCAGGAGAGAGAAGGATAAATCAAGTTCCTTTTCTGCTTTATTTACTTGCTATTCATTTTTATTCCAGGCTTTGCAGCAGGCAGCAATGAAACTTCTAGATATTCATAAACAAAAATCTGGTCTTCTGTCCACTGATATAGATCAGGAAGGCCAGAGTGTATGTTGAGAAAGAAGAGAGTTGTAAAAAATGTTGAAATAGATTTATTGGAGACTTCAATATCTGTTGAAGTCAGCAAAGCTGGAATAAGCTTTAAGTAAACACTATCAATTTCGGTGATAAGATTTAGAAGGTGGCTTCTGGTTTTTTTTGCACTAGATGAAAAAATATCACAAAGCTTGTCTTCATGGAAATGTGATCAAGATGTAAGCACTGCTACCGCTAACTCCTTTACCTTAGGTTTAGTT